AACTATTCGTCAAAGCTTCGTTCAAAAGCTACCTCCTCTGTGAACAGTGCTTTTATTTCTATGTCCCATAGAAAAAAGATGAACATTCACTGAGCGTTTACATGCCAAAGACTGTATTGGATCCATAAGAATTATTTAGTCCTCACAAAATGCCTCCACAGATGAGGAAACCTAAGTGAGAAAAGCTCATATAAGTTACTCAAGGTCATGGTGGGGCCAGGATGCAAACCCACTATGTCCAACTCCAAGGTCTGTGCTTTTGCCCCATATCACACCTCCTACTACAGGTAAGTCCATGCTAACCTACATCTGTGATTTTCAAATGCTGGTTATAATCTAATTAGTGAGTTGTGAAATCACTTTCGTAAGTTATAACCAGCATTTTTCTTTTTAAATAAGAGAGGAGAATAGAAAATAGAGCAGATCACATGTAGAAAGTATATATACTTTTCATGAAACAGTATATACACGTGTGTGTATACTGGGTGGCAAAATGCATTTCTTACCAGGAATAATAGTCATAAATGTGATAGCCTAAAACTGTATCTTGAATATACTAGAGATCTTCACTATATTAATAATGAAAGATGCCCGATAATTATAATAGCTAACATTTATTGAACATTTAATATGTAATACAGATTATGCTAAATACTTTAAATGAAATTTCATTGAATTCTTACAATGCATTTTACAAAAGAGGAAAATGAAGTTCAGAAAAATTAAGTATCTTGTTTGAGAAGGATTATTTACCTAGTTTTAAAGTAGCTCCCCGAGATACTTATCAACTACAAGATTAAAAGGATAGCAACTTTATGGTGGAGAAACCTGGCAGACACCTCCTTAACCAAGTGATCAAAGTTAATATCACCAGTAATAAAACATATCAACATCAAGAACCTCTGATATGATGCACTGAGAAGAACACATCATCATTTTTGTGGTATTCTCGCCAAAAATACATAACTTCAATTCAATTATGGAAAACATCAGATCTAAATTGAGAGACAGTCTACAAAATAACTGAGAAGTACTCTTCAAAAGTGTGAAGGTCATGAAAGACAAAAAAAAAACACAACTAAATAACTGTCATAGATTGGGGTGGACATGACAATTAAATGCAGTATGGGATCCTGAAAAAAGGGTACTGGTGGGAAAACCGGTAAGATCCGAATAAGGTCTGTAGTTTAGTTAATAATAGTATTCTACCATTGTTAATTTGACAATTGTTCAAATGGTTATATAAGATGTTAACAGTAGGGGAAGCTAGGTGAAAAACAGGAATTCTCTGTACTATTTTTTGCAACTTTTCTGTAATTCTAAATTTTTTTCAAAATGAAGCTTTAGAAAATCATAATTATTACTAAAGGAAGGGAGGAGGAGGGAGAGGGAGAAGGGGGGAGGAGGAAAAGAAGAAAGCGAAAAGGGGGAAGGGAATAGGGGGCAGGAAGTTAGGTAACTTGTCCAAGGTCACCCAGTACCCAGGGAGAGCCTGGTTTTGAACTCAGGCAGTCTGACTGAGGAGTCCTTCACTGCATGAAAGACAGAAGAGGTGAAAGAAAACTCTTATTCAACTGAAGTAGAGAGAGGTTGTTCTCTTGATACCCCAATTTAATTTTCCCATAAAAAAATTTGCTACATATGGTTTAATTTATAGGACCATTTTAGTGAATAAAATGTGTCCAGTTCTTTAAAAAAATAACAATAAAATATGAATTAAAAGAAAGTTGAGTTTGTGCTATTATGATCTAATTTTTTTAAAAAGTCAGTAACCCATATAATATAAATAGTAAACTATATGATCAGACTACTTAATTAATCAAACCACTGCATTTTTCCAAAATTTTGTATTGCCAATGAATTGAAGCAGTTATATTGGTGTTAGGTAAGCATAAATATCATTTTCAGAAAATGAAGTAAATTTCCTTATAAAACAAAAACGACAATAATATGTACACACACACAAAATAAAACAAGGTAAAACAAACTAAAAGCCCCAAAGATAAAATATTCCTTATTTCCCTGAAGTGAAAGTTATGGTCCTCATTACCTTTACAGTTGTGCTAAAATACACAGTTTTGTTTTTTTGTGTGGTTTTTTATTTTTTGCAGGAGAAGATTCGCCCTAAACTAACATCTGTTGCCAATCTTCCTCTTTTTTCCTTCTTTCCCCCAAAGCCCAGTACATAGTTGTGTACAGTTGCAAGTTCTTCTGGTTCTTCTATGGGAGCCGCCGCCACAGCATGGCTACTGACAGACAAGTGGTGTGGTTCTGTGCCCAGGAACCCAACCTGGGCTGCCAAAGCGGAGCACGCAGAACTTTAACCACTAGGCAATCAGGGCTGGCTCTAAAATATATAGTTTTAAAGTTTCTCAAAAACATCTACATATCTTATTGAGGACTCTTCCTCATCATATTAATTTTCAGGGGAAATCATTAAATATTATGAGTCCACCTTTTAAAAATATTATTCATTTTTTCCAAGCATAATGTTTTTTGAATAATAAGTCAAAATTTTTATAGTTTAAAGGCTGTCAGTAACTTGAGAGTAGGGACTTCACTGACCCATCACCAAGCAAACTACCTAGAAATGTAGGTATTTAAGAAATATCAAATTAATGTTTCTTGATTTAGTACAGGCATTATGTTGCACATAAGAATCAGAATTTTTTTTAAAATAACAGAGCTCTTACATTATATATAGTACGAGGGTAAAATTTAACTTCAAAATAGAAAACACTGGATAGATTCTTGTACAAAGATACTTACAGTAAACAAATTATAAATAAATTATGATTCAGTAGGTAACTGACTAAAGTAGTTACAAGATTTACAGAGTTCCATGTAGTCATTAGCCATAAGGCTAAGTGGCACAAAAAATACTAGTCTGCCACATACATAAAAAATGATACACATACCACAATTTTAAGAGAACTTAATGTATGGCAAATTTTAGGTGACTATTATTTTCTTCTTTATATTTTTTTATATTTGCCATGTTTTTACAATGAAAACTTTATTAGTTAAAAAATCCCTTTGAAGAGTCTTTAAAAAGCATGAATTAAAATGATTTGACACCAATACCAAGTCCAAATATGCACACAAATGCCTACTACATATGTTACTAAAGAACAGGGTAAAGAAAATCATTTTAAAAAGTATCACTTACCCTAATAAAATACAATGTTGTTATCATAATAAAACATTAAAACAGGCTAAGAACTACATATTTTACCTCTTCTGAGCTATAAGTGCACATCTAAAAATACCTCAAAACATAAATAAATAAATAAAAATACCTCAAAATTATATATTCTACTACAAAATAAGTTAGTGCTTGAATTTATCCAAATTAATCATTCCTCCTGAAATATAAATTCAAATTCCTTACAATATACATTATCCTGAAATATAGGGGGTGTATATATGAGAGGGGGATGTATATTCCCAATGAGTATTATATGAGTATTATAAACGATGCTACTGAATTTTTCTATCACTGTTTTAAAGACAATGAACAGTAGCAGTCTACACAGATGCAGTCTCTGCAGACATACACACGTGGAATGCTGCAGTAACATCTTGCCTTATATAAAACATGAGAGGGTATGAGAGTTGTACTGACTGGCAAGACCACTAGTACTAATGAGTAAATATTAAGAATTCAAAACATCAAAGGTATATGGTTCCTGTTTGCAAACCTGCCGAATACCACTACTTATGACCCTGAATCCCCAACCTGGGACAAACTTACCACACAGCACAGATCACAACAGCACAGGCCTTAGAGCCTGATATCTGAAGTTGTATCCTGGCTCTTCTTCCTAGCTTCCTACTGTGACTTGGGCAAATAACAACCTCTCTGTTCCCCAGTTCCCTCATGGGAAAACTGTAAAATGGAGATAATACATAGAATCTATCTATTATGTTAAAAGGTTTAAAAGAATTAATGCACATTAAGCATTTGACAGTGTATGGCATAGTAAGAGCTCAAAAGAGATTTGTAAGTACGTATGTAGTTTGAAAATGACAACACGTTAGCCTAATTAGCATGTCATTGGTGATCCTTGCTAACAGCAGCCTATACTTCAGTGATGTATATATCCTCAAGTGTCTATTTCAAAATCTGTGCTTCCTTCCATGTCTTTCTGTGAAACCACCTTGATGCTCAACAACATGATACAGAAAGCACATCTTTGTACATGTATATTGAACTCTCAGTATTTTTGTATAGTCCAAAAACAAGAGAGACCAACAAATAAGGTAAAAATTGGTAGAGAAAAACACCAAGTCCTTGAAAATAAGCGACTAGAGGGCAATTTTCATGATAGCCAAACGAAGAAGACCCAATCATTAAACATAAAACATGACAATCTCTCAAATAATAGAGAAAAGAATGAATATGCTGGAGAGAAACTTATTGCTATCTCTTTTGTTCAGAAAGACATAACGACTGCTGAAATGAATCAAACAGAAAATGGGTAAATTATGGTATACAAATTATATTTAATTTAATATTATTTATATTATTTATTTTATATTAATATTTATATTATTTATATTAAATAAAATATTACTTAATAATATTAAATAAAAATATTATTTCATTTTTTTAAAATCTCTACACTGGGAAAGTCAAACTTACTTTGAACAAAGTGGAAGTAAATTATAAATAAAGCATTTTCAAAACAGTTTTCTACATAGTTTTAATTAGTCTCTTACTCTTTTAGATATCTTAAATATAAATTTTTATATTTTAGCTTATAGTGCCTACACTGCTGTGTGGTTCTTTGCTTAATGGAAACTTATGTGTTTGGAAGAAAATATTTTAAGAAAGACATATTTATGCACAACGCATACAAACAGATGACAGGAAATAGTAAATATCCCATCCATTATACTTTTCAGTAGCTTGTCAATCAATAAAACGGAATGATAATATAGTTTCAGTACCACACACATGGAGAGCAACACACAGAGATCAAAGTAATCTTGCTTACCATGCCAAACTGCTGCGTGTCCATCCCACAGAGTTGCCACTGTCTTCCTTGCACCATCCCATAAATTATGAGAATATGCTTCTTTTAATACATTCTTCCTCTTATAAATGTGTAAGAAAATAATAGTAAGGTAGAGAAGAAAGATAGTAAAGTAAGGAAGTATTAAAAGTATTAGTGGTGTAAAAACCCATAAGAGATAGTTTGCAAAATTCAAATAGTCCTCTAATTGCTCCACACCAAACCATTCTTCGAGTATGTGAATCAGACAAGTCATATAGGGCATGGAATCCTGTCCCACACCACAGGTTTGATTATTGTCTATCATTTTTCTTTAGGTGAAAATGACAAATTCAGTCTCTTTCTTCCTTGTCATGGCAGGTCTTTAATTTTGTCACTAGAAGGGAAAAATAATCCAATGTTACTCTCTTCACAGCTGAAAAGTTAAATGTTTTAGTATACATAAATACTATATAGAGTCCTTTCTTAATACCACAAATTAGTAGATTGGTAATGGTTAATTTTGCTGCAGATTTAAATGTGAAAATTATAACATTTCATCCGTCCACTCATGAAGCATGTTGGGTTCAGCTTCTGAAATAACTCACAAGCGATCATTGAGAGAGGAAAATGAAGCTGATGAAGAATGAAACCTCAGATTGATCTTAATAATCTGACTTACATCGTAAGTAGATCATATTGAACATCTGTATCTTAAACTAGGTTATGTTGAGATAACTCTGTTCTTTACCAAAGAAAACATCAATATCTGACTCGATAAAAGTAACCTGATTCTTCTGAATAGACCAATAACAAGTAAAGAGATTGAAATAGTAATCAAAAACCTCCCAAAAAATAAAAGTTCAGGACCAGATGGCTTCTCCAGTGAATTTTACCAAACATTCAAAGAAGATTTAATACCCATCCT